ACATTAACAAATGGAATCTATATTTTTTTTTTTTGAGACAGAGTTTCGCTCTTGTTACCCAGGCTGGAGTGCAATGGCACGATCTCGGCTCACCGCAACCTCCGCCTCCTGGGTTCAGGCAATTCTCCTGCCTCATCCTCCTGAGTAGCTGGGATTACAGGCATGCGCCACCATGCCCAGCTAATTTTTTGTATTTTTAGTAGAGACGGGGTTTCACCGCATTGACCAGGATGGTCTCGATCTTTTGACCTCATGATCCACCCGCCTCGGCCTCCCAAAGTGCTGGGATTACAGGCTTGAGCCACCAAGCCCGGCCAACAAATGGAATCTAATTAAACTAAAGAGCCTCTGCAGAGTAAAAGAAATTATCATCAAAGTGAACAGGCAACTTACTATCTTTTTTTTTAATCTGTGGATTCTATAGTGATGACCTCTGTATTATGTTCCTATTGCTACTGTAGCAAATTCCCTCAAATATAGCTGCTTAAACAGCACAAATTTATTTTCTTTCAGTCCTGAAGGACAGAAGTGGTAAAGACATATAGGTCTAAAATCAAGGTGTTGGCATGACTTCTTCCTTCTGGAGGCAAGAGAAGAAAATCCATTCTTGCCTTTTCCAGTTTTTAGAGGCTGCATGTGACCCTTTCAGCCATCTTCAAATAAAGCCACATAACCTTTTGTTTTCCCTCTGACTTCCTGCCTCCCTCTCATAAAGACCTTGTGATTGTACCAATGCATCCAGAATAATCACCCTGTCTTAAGATTCTTAATGCAATCACATCTGCAAAGTCTATTTTGCCATTTAAGATAACAACAGATTCATAAATTCCAGGAAGGTGGTCTTTGGAAGGAGAACATTTTTCAGCCTACCTTGATCTCTTTTTCATTTCTGATGTTACTAAGTTGTACCACTTTATTTTTTTCATGGTTAGTCTCTCTAAATTTAATTGATCTTTTAAATCAGTTTTTTATTTTATAATCTTTTCCATTGTTATTCTGTTTTTAAATTCATTGATTTCTGTTCTATTATTATGTTTCTTCTTCTGCTTCCTTTGCAATTGAATAGCTGTTATTTTTCTAGTCTCCTAAAGAGTAAGATTGGATTATTTATTTTAGATCATTTTTTCTTTTCTAATATATCCATCTAACATTATACATTTTCTTCTAAGTACTACTTTCATTGTATACCACAAATTTTAATAAATTGTATTTTCATTTTTATTTAGTTCAAACTATTTTTTTTAATTTCTCTGTGACTTCTGTTTTTTCATGTGTTATTTACAAGTGTGTTGTTTTATCTCCAAATATTTTGGAATCTCCCATCTGTATTTCTGTTTTGGATTTCCAGTTTAATTCCACTGTGATCTGGCAACATACTTTCTATGATTTCTATACTTCTAAATGTGTTAAGGCGTATTTTATGCCTGGCAATGTGGTCTATCTTTGTAAATGATCCATGTGAGTGTAAGAAAAATGTGTATTATGCTGTTGGATGGAGTATTCTTTAAGTGTCAATTAGAACAAGTTGATTGATAATGCTATTCAGGTCAACGCTATTCGTAATTTCCTGTTTACTTGTTCCATCAATTGTGAAAAGAGAACTGTTGAAGTCTCTAAGTGCAAAGGATTTCTCTAGTTCTGCCTGTAGTTCTATAAGTTACTGTCTCATGCATCTTGTTCTCTTGTTAGGTACATTCATGTTAAACATTGTTATGTCCTTTTGGAGAATTGGCCCCTTTTATCATTTTGTAAGGCCCCTCTTGATTCCTGTTAATATTTATATACTTTTCTGAAATCTGATTTGTCTGAAGTTAACATACTACTCAAGCTTTCTTTTGATTAATGTTGGCATGCTATACCTTCCTCCATCCTTTACTTTGATCATACCTGAGGATTTGTACTGAAAATGGTTTTATGATAGACAATGTACAATAGGGTCTTTCTTTAAAAAAAAATCCCTCTGACAATCTCTTTCTTTCAATTCATACATTTAGATCACCCAAATTAAAAGTGATTTTTGATATAATTGGAATAGTATTTATCATATTTATAACTCTTTTTTATAAGATCACTTACTCTAGTCAATGTTTTTCTTCCCTTTTTCTGCATTCTCTGGTTTTAATTGAACAATTTATATGATCCTATTTTATTTACTCTCTTATACCTCAATTGTATTTTATTTTAAATTTTTATAGCAATTGCTATAGAGTTTGCAATATACCTTTACAACTAATGCAAGTCCACTATCAAATAATATATAGTACTTCACATATAGTGCAGAAACTCAGAACAAAGCACCCCAAATTTCTCCCTTGCACCCCTTATTACATTGTTGTCATTCATCTCACATGTGCTGCACTCACTGAAAGCAGTTACTATATTTCCTTCAAGCAAATGGTTGCCTATTAGATTGATGAAAAATAAGGAAAACAAAATATTTCATTTAGCTTTGTTTATGCCTTTTTAACACTCTTAAGTAGATCTGAGTTTCAGACTCATATCATTTCCCTTCTCCCAGAAAAACTTCTTTCAACACTTTTTGCAAAGCAGTTCTGCTGAAAATGAATTCCCTTTTTTATTTGTCAGAGAAAGTTTTTTATTGCTCATTCACTTTTGAAGGAAAATTTTGTTGGCTATAAAATTCTAGTTCGGTCATATGTCTTCCAATCAATTAAATAGTTTATTTCACTCATGGTTTCTGATGAGAAATCTGTTCTAATTTTTGTCCTTGATCCTCTGCGGGTAAGCTGTCCCCCAAACTCCCTGGATTCTTTCAAGATTTTCTCTTAGTCTTTGGTTTTCTGAAGATTGAATATGATATGCCTAAGATTGGTTTTTGGTATTCTACTTGGTGTTATCTGAGCTTCTTGGATCTAGGGTTTGGTGTCTGTCATTAATTTTGGAAAATGCATGATCATTATTACTTTAAATTTTTCTTTTTTTCCTTATTATTTTTCTGCTTATATTGCAATTATATATATGTTAGAGTTTAAAAATTATCCCACATTTCTTGGATAGTCTGTTCTATGTATTCACTCTATTTTCTCTTTGCATTTCAGTTTGGGAAGTTTCTGTTGACCTATTTTCAAGCTTATTGATTCTTTATTGGCCAGGTACAGCCTACAGATAAGGCCCTCAAAAATATCCTTTTTGGGAGGCCGAGGCAGGTGGATCACCTAAGGTCAGGAGTTCAACACTGGCCTGACCAACATGGTGAAACCTGGTCCCTACTTAAAATACAAAAATTAGCTGGGTGTGAACTCCCAGCTACTTGGGAGGCTGAGGCAGGAGAATCACTTGAACTCACGAGGTGGAGGCTGCAGTGAGCCAAGATTACATCAGTGCACCCCAGCCTGGGTGCCAGAGTAAGACTCCATTTCTAAAAAAAAAAATCCAAAAAACAAAAAAAACACAATACTTTGTTTTTATTACATTGCTTTTGATGTGTAGCATTGTCTTTTGATTCTTTCACAGAGTTTCTGGTTTTTCTGCATAGATTATGTGTCTTTTCCGTCATCCATTTTTTCACCAAAGCCTTTGTCACATCAATCATAGTCATGTTTAGTTTCCTGTATAATAGTTCCAAAATCTGTATTTGAGTCTGGTTTATCTCTTCAGACTATGTTTTTCCTTACTGTTCAGAAAAATTTTTAGTTTCTCTTGAAAGCTTCACATGATGTACTAAGTAATAATAACTGAAGTAAAACACATTTAGTGTAGGGTTTTTCATTAATTTCACTAGGATTCAGTTTGTGTTTAATGATTGCTATAGTTGTAGGTGCAAGAGGCTTAACATTTCTCTTGTGTTCTCGTTTTTGTCTCTCCTATTGCCTTGTGATTTCCTAATAACTCCTGCTTAAATAGTGTACCTTGCAACTCTTCAGTTGTGATCTATTGTCATTAAACTGGATCCCTATTGATGTGGTAGTGTCTGAGCAAGGGAAGTATTATATAATCTTATGATTAAATCTCAGTATTTGTGTGAGTCTATGCTCCAGGGTCATGACTTTCAAAAATGTTTCTTAGCTCTCTTTCTGTTAGGTAAGATGAGAAGGCTAGACATGGCTGGAGTGGAGGAAAATGTACTCACACTCAGGCGAGATATGACGCTTATAGAGTCTTTTTACCTGCAAGTAGGCCTTTGTTATTGAGAATGCTCTGGGCTGATTTAGAAATGGTTTCTTTCCTTCTCATCCTGCCAAAGCCATGAGCGGATTATTCTTGACTCTCTACCAAGAGAACCTGTTGGGATTCCTGAAGGTAAACTCCATGAAGGTGTGAGGGCTTTCCTAGGACTGCAACTTCCATGAGTTCTCACTCTTAATGCCAATCTGCACTCAACATCCAACAATTTTTCAAAATTACCATTTAAATGTTTCTAACAGCTTGCAGCTCCAGAGGCTTTTGCTCCAGGTAAGCAGAAATGTAAACAACTCTGTGCATTTGGGTGCTTTTCCAGATATTGGAGTACTAACTTGCCCTGCTATCTCAGTCTTTCATTAGCCCAAAGAAAAGTTGTTGATTTTAAGTTTATTCAGAATTTCCTTATTTTAAAGAAGAGAGTAACGGCTTCCAACACTCTTTATGTCAACAATGTAACCAGAAGATTAAGTAATTCATTTTTTACTGTATTTTATAAAAGTCACCATGCAAGATGGACTGCAAATTAAAGAAAAAAGATGATCCTTCATAGAAAATCATTGAGAAGTTCTCTTTTAAGTGATATCAGACTCCCCTGGGGCTGACTGTATCACAGCATCAGGGACAATGAGTGGGCAGTGAGTGTGAGGGGAAGCCATGTCTTCATTTATTCATGATACAAACCCTGCCTGAGCAGGGCTCACATCTTTATCAAAATACACAGATTGGGATACTCATACAGTAATTTCCCCTTAGGCCTGTGTAAGATTTGGAGGAGCCAAGACTCAGTGTTTTGACGTTCCCCCAACTCCTCCCTCCTCTTCCAAAGACTCTTACTATAAGAACAAAACAAAAGCATATAAGTATAAAGTAATATTTTTATTATTATTCTCTGAGGTCCAGGGACACGGAAGACAGAGAAGAGCCTGAAATGAAGGCGAGGAGAAAGGAAAAAGAAGGCGGATCATGACGAGGTGGTCAGGTGTTTGGGGAGCATATTCGCTTTCAAGGTGAGTCTTCACTCTGGGTGTATGCTCATGATGAGCTGCACACCAAACTCAGGCTGCTGACTTTTCTTCTGCCCTAGACCTTGAACTTGCAGACATAGGGTAACTTTGAATCACAGTTATAATCTTTCCACTTCAGAAATCCTAGAAAGACAGAATATAAAAGGCATGGGGCTGGGGAAAATTTGTGAACCCAATGAAGAGGCATCCCAGGTTTCAGCCTAGGGTTTAAAGCTGCTCTCTCATCATCACCAGTATCTCAATCCAGGGGAAGGAGACTCAAAGAAAGCAGAGATTGGAGTAGATGGGAGAAGACACATCAACACTGCATTTCCTAGCTGAAAAGGATTTCGTAAAGGTCAGGGCTAGAAATAGGGTGGAAAGTGCTGGGAAGAGGCAGCTCTTCTGTTTCTTACCTGTGCTTCTTGACAGGCTCCCACAGTGGCCAGGGTTTGTGATGGTGGAGGGATTTTTCTCCCATGCAAAGTAATTCATCACATCAGTGCTACTCCACTCCCATCCATCTTCACCAAGCTCGGCACCCTATACAGTACAGGAGACAGCCAGGTGAAAAAAATAGCCATTGAAGGTCTCTTTGCATGGCCCCTTAGCTGTAACACCTGATTCCCTCCCCAGCCTCAGGAATGTTGGTTTGCTTATCCAGATGCTGCCCTAGAGGCCTCTGCGATGGAAGCTCTTCCTTGACTCCTTGCTGTTATTGGAAAATCCCAGCCAATAAACACAAGATCTTTGGAACCACTCAAGGTAATATGTTACTTACAGAACAATAAGTGGTGTAGCATTTGTGATTAGTCTGTAGCCTCACAAATAATGTCTATTCTGTAGGGGGGGCAAAAATTGATCCTATCTTAATTTAGAATTCCCTCAGAATAATAGATGCAGACTCCCTGAAGTTCATATAATTGATTTGTAACGATTCATGTGAGAATTACGTAAAAAGTTTCACAAGAGTCTGATTAATTTTATCTAAAGATTAGAGATCTCCACAGATTTCAGCTCTTCGGCTCTCTCATGGACTTTCTTTTCCCCCAAATGTTCCCCAGAATCTGAGCTCCAATGCTTTCCCAAGTACTTCCTAGGCAGGCACAGGGGACAGGGATTGGGCCTGGGAAAAAACAGCAGTCAGCGTGAGAGGTAACAGAGAGGAGAGGGTATACTCGCACCTGTGTGGGGTCATGGAGACCAATCCAGACGAACGAGTAGCCGTGATTAACGCTCTTGACCAGGGAGGACACGAATGATCCCTCCGCCCCGCTGAGCACAGACACCAGGTTTCCAGAGGGCCGCTTCTGACAGGCCAGCTTTGAAGGGGAGACAGAGAATGAGAAAGGGCTTCAGACCTGCTAGGTGAGGGCAGGGCAAAGGTAGGTGGGAGGATGACTGTGTGAAAGATAAATGTGTTCCTCCTCATTCCCAAGGAACTTTCCTAAATGGAGACCCTCCTCCCCCTGAGACCTGTGTGGACTTTCCCCTGTCACCTCCAACCCCACATCTAACCACTCACATCTGCATCTATCCAGGATTTTGGTGATGTAAACAAGGCATAGCAGTGGGAGCCATAGGCCTTGGAGCCTTTGGGACAGCTGATCCGCGGTGAGGGCAGTTCCTGCTGGGGATCTTCACCTGAGGTGGAAGAAGAGGGAGAGGGTAAAATGAAGAGTGGGGACTGGGGTGAGAGAGGACCTTGGGGAATACCTAGGCCTATCCTTGGGGAGGAAGACCACATTCCTGACTCCCTTTAATCTTTCCTCATGTTTTCAGAAGTTCTTTATCTCAAAATAGCCCCTATAAATGGGGCACCATCTAGTCTCTTATTACCCTTTCCCCTTATTCAACCATTTAACACTCTCTTCACTCTGGGCTGTCTCTACATTGGGTCCTCCAATTATTGTCCCTCCCCTCATCTCATTACTGACCCTCCACACTTTCCCACCAATGTATATTAGAGTGCGCTGACTAAATGGAAGCCATCTCATTCCATTGTTAGTGGACCACCGTGGAGCCTCCTTCTACAAGTTAACCTGAAGGAAGGAGTGATGATGCAGAAACTGCAGGCAGTCTCATTAGACACCACACCATCACCTCATGTGACATGCGGGAGCCTTCCACCTCTTCTTGGCTCTGAGCATTCGTAGGGAACCCAGTGCTAGAGACAGAGGAATCTCACCTTGGACCTGAGACAGGAGCATGAGCCAGGAGAGCAGCATCCAGGACACACTGGGCAGGGCCATGGGAAGCAGCATGGTGTCTTCGACTTGAGGAGGCAATCAAGGGTCACTAAAGGAAGAGTGGTTAGTGGGAGAACACGCAGAGACCCTGCTGCCTTTTATATTTTTCCTTCTCTAGCCCCCTTCGAATAAAGTGAAATTGGTCACATCTGTCCTACAGTTCTGAGTGAGTTATGAATCTGTGTACTCTTCCATCCCCGAGCCCTCCCAGGACAGCCTTGCTGAGTCTCAGAGCTCCTGTGCTCTCTAAGGAAGAGACCCTCCCATGCTTCTCCTGTATCATGTGAGGTGGCCCCTCCCTGGGTCTCATCTTGTCTCAGCTCTTACCTCTCTGGTGAGATCTGGTATGCTTTGTCTGGTCAGGAAACACTGGGTTTTTATAAGAGGATCTTAGGGAGGGGCATTGGAGTGAATAACGGCCATGTGCAGGCGGGGCCAGGGTCATGGGGAGGCCTTGGCACTGGTTCAAAAGATACCTTTTCAAGAAGGAGACTCTTCCTGGCAAAGGCTGGGAATTGTCACAGTTGTTGCCTTTTTCCCTTTAGCAGGTCAGCACTTTCCCCACAAACAGTTGAAGTTTGCACATTTCCCACCCTCTTCCAGATATCTTCTGAGAAACTTATGGGAATAAAGGCAATCTTGTGAACCTGGTATTACATAGTTTAGAAAATATCATGGCATTACATAGTTAAGAGAAATGTCAAAACTGTGCTTTTGATCAGACTGCCAGGAACTCGCTTCTGTAGGCATACATGTGAATTTCTTTATACCTTACCTAGTAACATTTAAAATAAATTAATAAATAAAAATTAGGAGTGCATTGAAATTAGAAGTATTGGTGAAGACAATGTATTAGTTGAGATGAAGAAAGAATACAAACCAGGAGAGGCAGCACTGGTTCAGATTCACTGCTTCAACTTTGCAGCAAGAGGTAAAGGAAGCTTGAAATAAACTTGTGAGTCAATAGGCAAGCCAAGGTATTATGGAACAGCAGTTAAATAGATTTGCCTTCCAGCTATCTCTGTGTGAGAAGACCAAGAGACAGTTCCTTGGTTTATTGTAATTCTGAGCTGACAGTTCGATACCTCAGAGTAGCGCTCTTTGATTGTAATCTGCACACCCATGGGAATCTTCAGGGCCTGTTCAGAGTAGCTGTGCAGTTATAATTTTCATAATTACACAAAAATATTATTTGTCATTTTCACTATGTTGACATTTGCACTGGTGAGGCAAAAGAAATGAGGGATAGAAGTTCTGGTGCCTTAACATTAATCAGGGCAGTGGCACCAAATTTTATTGCTCATATCCACGCTCCTGCAAGAAACAAAATAAAGGCATTTTTGCTTGAAAATCCTCATGAACTTGATGAAGTAGAGTAGTGAATTGGCTTCAGTAAATCTCAACCCGTGAATAAATCTAGAGGAAATATTCTGTGTGACTAAATGAGAAGTTGATATGCGAAAGTACAATGGTTGTCTTGGGGGAAATAATTTGTAACACTGAGTTTTACTTCACTATTTCCTGGAACATCATTTTTACTTGAAAAATAAACCCAGGCAAACTTTACTTATTGACATATGGGTAATTTGTTAACATGTTTTCAAAATTGATAAAAATGAATGAGTAAATAAATATTTTTAAATTTTATATATACATTATTATAAATATCAATAGCTCACATAAACAAAAAAATTTTGGGGGGGTCCTCAATATTTTTTAAGAGTGCAAAAGTGTCCTGAGATCAAAACAGTTTGAGACCTCTGGTTAACATCTAGCTGGCAGTGTCCAGAAAATATAGGAGATGGAGACAGTATTGTATTACAGTGCAGGAATACCATCATCAAAATTTAGAAGGTGGGAAATTCTACAGGACAAATAAGAACATTTCCCCAGCAAGTGAATTTAAGGAAATAAAGCAACATATCACTCTTAACATGTGAAAGATACATCAATCAAATAAAATGTGTGAACCAGGCTTGGATCCTGATTTGAACAAATTAAAAAATTAAGAAACAAATGGGTAAAAGTATTTGATAACGTTAAGGGACTATATCATGTTCAGATGTAGTTATAGTACTGAAATTATATTATTTAAAGTATCCTTATCATTTAAGATCCATAATACTAACAAATGAAATATGTTATTCAGGATTTACTTCAAAATAATCTAGCATGGTAGAGATACAGAAAGAAATAGATAAAACAAGAGAGGCCTTGAGACCATGATAGTTGTTGCTTGGTGGTAGTACTATAACACTATTGTCTTCGGAATTTTATAACACTATTGTCTTCGGAATTTTATCTAAAATATTGGGGGAAATTTTGAGAAAAAGAAACATTCAGGGCCATCATGAGAAATAAATTCAAAGGCCAATCTGACTCAAGAACATAGCTCCAAAGTTCCTGAACAAAACACAAAACAAATTGAATTCATTAATATATACAATAAATGAAGAGAAAGAAGAGTTAATCATGGAAATAATGATAGTTTATTTTGATGAACTACTAATACAACTTTCAAGTTCAGAAATTCAAAGAGAAAAAATATATAGTCATTTTAAAAGAACAAAATTATTAAGTGAAATTCAAAACCCATTAGTAACTGACAAAAAGCCTTAAACAAGAGTTAGGAATAACTTTAACATGTTAAAGAAATATATAGAGAATCAAAAGTAAAATACCGAAAAGACTTCCTTAAAAATCAGGAATATACAAGTGTACCACCCTCATTGAGTCTAGCATGCAATAAAAAATACACTTGGAAAAGAAAAAAAATTAAATAGGGAATGAGTAAATAAAGTTGTCACTATTTGTGTATGATAGATATGCTCTCTCCACAGAAAACCCAGAAGACTCTTCAAATTAATTGTTAGAATTAGTGGATGAATTTAGTAAACAAGAAGAAGGTGAGATCAATATATAAATCCCAATTGAATATTTATATTCCAACAATAAAGTCAGAACAGGTATTTTTAAGAAAAATACTATTTTTAATAGGAAGAAAAATATAAAGGCTCTAGATATATATCTGACAAAAATAGTTAAGACCACATGAAACCTTTTACACTTTAAAGACGACTTTAATATACGTAAAAATGTATCATGTTTTAGAAAGACAGATTCAATACCCTGAAGAGGTTACTTTTCCCTACACAGATGGTCCCCAATTTATGATAGTTCTATTTAAAATTTTTCTGTCATACCATGTTGAGAAAGTGATACGCCTTCCCTAGAAACCTCATTTCAGATTGTGAATATTGATCTTTTACTGGGCTAGCAATATGCAGTATGTTACTCTCTCAAGATATCTCAGCATAGGCAGCAAGCACTGTCCCGGTGGACGCCATCATGAAAGTAAACAACTGGTACTCCACAGTGTACTGTGTTTTTCAGATGATTTTGCCCAACCGTGAATGCAGGTGGTGTGCCTGGGGACTATCTTAATAGCTGGCTGTCAGAATTGGAACCTGGTACTTAAATAGCCAAGGGCTTGGCCCTTTCTCCCACCCTCCTAGCAGACCATTTTTAATCTACATAATTCGGTTTGTACACAGGAGGAGGAACTTTACTCAATTTTGTCCAGCAGTCCTCAAATTTCAAATACACTTGGATGTATAGTGGGAGCAGAAGACGGGGTGCTTATGTTCAATTGTCTGACTCTATGGCCCCACCTATTCAAAAAGGTTCAGTTAAATATGAATTTATCATTACACTCCCTTTCAAACTTTACTGGTCATTCCTCCATTATCTATTCTTCTGATTTCCTATTGGTACACAAAAAACTATCCCAAGGTTAGTGGCATGAAACAAGTTATTATTATTTCTAATGTTTCTGTGAGGTAACTGGGATTGTCTGGATGGTTCTCCCTTGGAAATTTCTTATGAAGTTGCATATGATGGCTATTGCATATAATGAAGCATCAAATGGACTGGCCTTCAAAGATGATTACACACATGGGTAGCAGTTGACGTTGGTTATTGCCTGAGCACTCAGATGGGACTGCTAATGAGAATTACAAGGCAGTGGCCCTGTGCCTTGAACTTCTTGCAGCATGGAGGTGTCAGGATAGTAGAACTTCTTAAATTGTTGGCCATGGCTCCAAGAGGGCAAAGCAGAAGCTGCTGGTCCTTTTGGGCTAGATCGTGAAATAACATAATGCTATTTCCATCATACTCTGTTGATCAAGCATGAGTTTGTATTCTTAGGACCTAGCACATTAAACCCTCAGTAATATAAATAAATTAATATATTTATTCACAATAATTTTAGCAATTATGTCAGCTGCTTTTAACCTCAAAATGTTTTACAGGCTAATGAGACTTAGCTTTTAACTTTATTTTTTGCATTAAATCTATTATTTTGCGTAGGTGACTTTATTCCCCCTGGACCTGTGTTTCTTATCTTAATTTTTCAATGATCATGTTGGACAAAGACAGCACTGAGGTATATTCTATAATTTTCCTATTATTGACCAGAACGCTGGAATATTATGAATGTGGGTTAAGAGACTTCTTGGAAAACAGTTACTGCTTCCATATGTAAATCTCAGACAACCTTTGGGAAGGCCATCGTCTGATTGCATCAGACAGTTTATTCGGGAAGAAGCTTTGGAAAAAGTAAACTATTATAAACCAGTCTGGAAATGGAGCAATTACAGAGAATTTTTCACTGTATTATTTTGTATTGGCTATTAGAAACAACTTGTTTCTGAAATGGAAATATACTGACTAAGCTCTCTATAGATATGTGTGTAAATGCTTAAAGAATCATAACCTAGCATTTTAGATTAAATAACTTTATTCAAATAATGATTATTTGTTAAGCTTTGTGAGCTTATTTCCTGTGAGTCTTTGGAAGAAATAGCATTTATTTCATTTAAAGAACTTAATGTGGCAATTGACAAATATATGATAAGTTACCAAGGAAGAATCTGACCACTAAAAAACTAAGTTCCTTCAGAAAATCTTTCAAAAATTAGTAGAATTTGAGGGCTGTTGTCTGTTTCTAACTTCTTTTTAATTTAGGGACTAATTTGAGTCCAGTAGGAAGACCAGTTATATACTCAAGACACTAGAATTTGATCTAAATTAAGGACCAGAATAGAGACCACAGGTCAACGCAGAAATATGTTCTATGGAGGAGAGTGCTCTCGTGGTCAATTTTGAGAGACCAGTTTATGAACAATAAAAGAAAAAATAGAATCAAGAGCAAGAGGAATAAAGATCATATAGTCTGAGGTCTCTCAAGATATCTGATCTTGTGGATTAGCTGGAGTTGGGAACTTCGAGTAAAGGACACTTTGCTCGTTGGATCTCACAATTCATGGCCTGAAGTGAAAACAAGGAAAAGGAAGGAATTTTGTAGAAAATACCCCCCAAAACACAA